GTCCAGGCAATGTCCATTACAATTTTATGATAAATGGTAAGTTTTCCCAATCTATAAATGGAAGGAGATAGTTGTCTCGCCACAGGTGGTGGTCACAATTTTTTTTAAGAGATAGCCGAAAATGTGATTTAATCTATGAACAAAATCAAAATATAAATTAAAATAGATATGAGCAAGTAGTGAAGGCTGTTCAGCATTGTTCCGCTGCTCCTATTTTGAGCTAGTGCGGGTATATTGAGGAACGTCAGAGTATTCTGCTACGTGAGAACCCACCATGCCAAAACCCACTAGTGATGTCAGAGGGCGACGGAAATTATATCTGCTCCATTTAAATACTGAAAAAGTATGCTTTGTTATAAATTTTTAAGGTCATTTGCCTGCTGGATGGCATACGAATGAGCTTTTGAGCCTGGAAGGGGTGATTTGTAGAAACTTTGTCGACTTCTTATCTGTTTAGGTCGGTCAAATTTATTTTCCCAGCTCTCCCAAAACACATTTTAGAGCCTTCTTTGGATTTGTTTTGCAAAGTATTCTGGTAAAAACTGCGTAAAACAAAATTCCACAAAAAAATGAAAACGGCTTGATCAGCATTTTTACACATTACGGAATTGTATGACAAGCGAAAACTCTATAACTAAGCCTGTTTTCTTGTAAGTCAAAAATGTTAGCTCTAAGTTCCATTTGGAGGTTTGTCATCTTATTTTATGAATTTTACGCAAAGTAATCACTGAAAAAAAAAATGTTGGAAACAGTTCATTTGAGCATAGATTTGTTTTCGTGACAATAAACAGTACCTCTTTTTTGGGATATTGTTTTATTTGAAGAAAAATATATCAGATACAATTTTCAAACGTTAAAAAAAGCCTATCATAAAAATGCTCTAAATATACAAGAAAAACATCTTAAAAACAAATTTTTGAAGCTAGAAAGCAATTTCATTATGCGATATAACAAAACCGTATAATAAGCTTATTTTTAATCCAAAGTTTGAAATCGCTTTCGAAAGATCAGAAAGCTTCATGATCATCAGTTAGTCAAATTTATTGTAAATTTCTGATTTATGAAATATTCTTTTTTTCCTCAAGGTTATGTGTGAAATTGTATGATGAAAGTTTGTGGTATAAGCATACAAATTAATCCGGGTAGACCCAATTCTAGGAGCTTGTCGCTATTCCCCCTTTCTGACACGCGATCGCTACCAGGAAGACTTTAACTACGAGGCTAAACTTTGTAAAATGTAACTAGTCTCCGCTGCAGGCTGGAAAAAGATCGGTCGTCCAATCTGCAACAAAGCAATTTTCTTCGATCTTTTTGCTTTTGCGCGAAATGCAAAGCTCAATTCTTTGACATATCACCTGAACTCTTCGACCTTTTTTTCGCATTTAGCCAATTCAACGACACATTTTTGCGTGACGACAAAAATTACGATGCATTTATTTTTTTATTTAATTCGAAAAAAAATCTGATTTCTGGATGAGAACAAACTTTAGACTCGGGATGATTATTCTTAACAATTAGAATATTCTGGTATCTCTTGTAGAAACCAT